CTCCTCTGGATCTCAAGCTGCTATCTATGCCCTCTTGTTCAATAGATATTCATTGTGAACATTTCTAACTATGCCACTCTGCCAGTCCCTCTTAAATATAAAAATGTTGTGGATTCCTTCTCACATTGGCATGCAGGAACATGACAAAGTTGACGCCCTTGCTAAGGCTGCAGTAAATAAAGACAGTATTGAACGGAATCTTGAGTTATCAAATTGGTCCCTTAAAAGTGTCATTAGACGAGAACTCCTGGATGGATTTGAAGAAAGTAGAACAGTGCAAACTGGAACTAGTAGGTCCATTGTTCATCACAATGAAATGTGTGAAGTAAAACATGTGTATGGGGCAAGTAACAAGGTCAGTAGACTAACAGATGTTGTCACAGCTCGTATAAGACTTGGCTACAAGTATCTCTGGCAGTTCGGCTTGTATAGGGATCTAGATGAAGTAAAGTATAAAGTGTGTGGACAAAGACAGGGACACACACTCGAACACTATATCTTGGATTGTAGTAAAATTGAGCCTTTTAGAGATAAATCTAAGCTCACTCTGTAAGATATAGCAACCTATCTTATTACCATGGATAAATTACCTGAAATCCTTGCACTGTACCCATATTTCGCTCCCAGTAGATGAACGACATATGAGATTCAGAAACAAGTAGTGTATTGTGAAGACTAATAATAAACAGAAGCTCCCCTATGACTCTGTAATATCTCCATTGGTCAAACTATTATGTATTAGCGATAAGACCTACCATTAATGTATGATGACTTACTGTAAATATGTAGCTCTTGTAATAGCACTTTCTCTGTAACTAGCTGACATTGTAACTATAAGGTGTGAAGGATAGATGAAATTGTTTCTGTAATAATCTAAGATGAGGTCTGATAAAGACCTTTTGTGCCCTCTGTAATGCTTTTTGCGCTACCGCTCACAGGATGAGTATGGGGTGCACAATAAACTAGCCCCCCTCCGGCGGCAACAATCAAAAAGTCGTCGTCCCTTCACCTTCTAGTGTGTGGTCTGGTTAACTAGATCCAACATTTTTTTTCTGAATTGTCCTCCCTCTAAATTCTCTCTCCCATTACACATTTTCCACACCATCTCTTACCCTCATGTAATCCCATTTTGTATAATCTCTCCGTTCCTTGACTCCTCGTCTCACGGGAATTGTTTTAAATTCGATCCTATAATCATAGAACAGAACCCAGTGATCAGTGACTCCTTGTAGTACTTCAAGATCTAAATTCCCCAAGTCTTCCTCATCCTGGGTGAAGATCAGGTCTGGACCCAGATTCACGAAGCAGTTACGCAAGCACTTACGAACGTGTACATCTTTCCTCAATCTTTGACGGCTTTGGTTACATTTACTAAACAGTTTACAAGCATGAAAACTTCCCAGTCAACTGTTGTTATTGTTATAAACAGCCTCCTGGTGCTTTGGCGCTCATTATCTATTTAATAATTGTAAACAAAGTCGCCAAAGATTGAGAAAAGATGTACAGGTTCGTAAGTGCTTGCGTAACTGCTTCGTGAATCTGGCCCGTAAGCAAGATGTATCTCCTTCCCTATCATCTTGAATATGTTTTAAGAACTTTCTTTCCATAACTTCCACCAAGTTTCCTCCCCACGTTTCTTCCCTATCATGGGGGGAGGGGGGTCATTAATTCCCAATCGATAATTTATGTTTCTCATGACTAGTAGTTTAGCTCTTGTTGTTGTTGTTGTCTGCAATTCGCTACTAAGACCAAAGTTCCAAGTAGCACGGGCTATGGTGAGCCCGTGTATGCATAACGAGCCATTGGGCAGACTGAAATAGTTGTTTGAGTCAGTAGTTGCCAGCTCCTCAGAATGTGTTTGACAGGGATCGTAAATTCACTCTCTCCTACCTAGATATTTAACCAATTTTATTGTAGTTATGAAAGGTTAAGTTTTGGACGTAATCCGTGCTATCATTTGCCTGGCTGACGCCATGTTTGCTTCGTTATGCTCACCAGATATCAGGTCGTCAGACGTCGTCTCACCAGATATCAGGTCGTCAGACGTCGTCTCACCAAATGTCAAGTCGTCAGGCGTCGTAATTCCCAGATCCTGTGTGTGTGCTGCTACTCGAGCTCCTCCAGTACAAGGTGCTGCTACTGGAGCTCCTCCAGTACAAGGTGCTGCTACTGGAGCTCCTCCAGTACAAGGTGCTGCTACTGGAGATCCTCCAGTACAAGGTGCTGCTACTCGAGCTCCTCCAGTACAAGGTGCTGCTACTGGAGCTCCTCCAGTACAAGGTGCTGCTACTGGAGCTCCTCCAGTACAAGGTGCTGCTACTGGAGCTCCTCCAGTACAAGGTGCTGCTACTCGAGCTCCTCCAGTACAAGGTGCTGCTACTCGAGCTCCTCCAGTACAAGGTGCTGCTACTGGAGCTCCTCCAGTACAAGGTGCTGCTACTGGAGCTCCTCCAGTACAAGGTGCTGCTACTGGAGCTCCTCCAGTACAAGGTGCTGCTACTCGAGCTCCTCCAGTACAAGGTGCTGCTACTCGAGCTCCTCCAGTACAAGGTGCTGCTACTGGAGCTCCTCCAGTACAAGGTGCTGCTACTCGAGCTCCTCCAGTACAAGGTGCTGCTACTCGAGCTCCTCCAGTACAAGGTGCTGCTACTCGAGCTCCTCCAGTACAAGGTGCAGCTACTCGAGCTCCTCCAGTACAAGGTGCTGCTACTCGAGCTCCTCCAGTACAAGGTGCTGCTACTCGAGCTCCTCCAGTACAAGGTGCAGCTACTCGAGCTCCTCCAGTACAAGGTGCTGCTACTCGAGCTCCTCCAGTACAAGGTGCTGCTACTGGAGCTCCTCCAGTACAAGGTGCTGCTACTCGAGCTCCTCCAGTACAAGGTGCTGCTACTGGAGCTCCTCCAGTACAAGGTGCTGCTACTCGAGCTCCTCCAGTACAAGGTGCTGCTACTGGAGCTCCTCCAGTACAAGGTGCTGCTACTCGAGCTCCTCCAGTACAAGGTGCTGCTACTGGAGCTCCTCCAGTACAAGGTGCTGCTACTCGAGCTCCTCCAGTACAAGGTGCTGCTACTGGAGCTCCTCCAGTACAAGGTGCTGCTACTCGAGCTCCTCCAGTACAAGGTGCTGCTACTGGAGCTCCTCCAGTACAAGGTGCTGCTACTCGAGCTCCTCCAGTACAAGGTGCTGCTACTCGAGCTCCTCCAGTACAAGGTGCTGCTACTCGAGCTCCTCCAGTACAAGGTGCTGCTACTGGAGCTCCTCCAGTACAAGGTGCTGCTACTCGAGCTCCTCCAGTACAAGGTGCTGCTACTGGAGCTCCTCCAGTACAAGGTGCTGCTACTGGAGCTCCTCCAGTACAAGGTGCTGCTACTGGAGCTCCTCCAGTACAAGGTGCTGCTACTCGAGCTCCTCCAGTACAAGGTGCTGCTACTGGAGCTGCTACAACCTCCCCCCCCCCCTCACACACACAATCAACAAACTATGCTAACACGACGAGTCTTCGTCGTCTGCCCCACACGACAAGCGACTCATAGTGATGAGCTGCTTGTGTGGACCTTCACAAGTGCCCCCTTAAGGGGGCGTCTGGTTGGCATCTGGGTCCAAAAATGCAAAAATGAAAACTCATTCGATTTCAATCAAACTTTTTTGACAAGTTCTATATGAAAAGTGTTTCATCTGGTCCACGTTTCAGCATTGTAGCATAAATAGGAAGGGAGAAAAAAAATATTGAAGTAGTTGTGAAAATTATGCAAAAATGGTCAAAATCGATTATCAATCAAAAGTGTCAACTGAAATCATAACTACAACTCTTTGCTATCACAATAGCATATATTAAACAAATATTATTATTAGTTTAATTGGAAAAAAATTTAAGGAAAAAAAAAAAAAAAAGATTTTTTTTTCTTTTTTTTTTAAATATTTTTTTTTTCTCATTTTTTTTGGGGCGATTTGCATCAAACTTACACACCTGACTGTACGTAAGCCTATCTGTAAGGATGCCAATTTTGGAGAAAATTGGTTGATGTCAACCCCAGCCACAGATTTTAGAACCTTAGACTTTATTAATTTCTGTTTTTTTTTCAATTGACACAAACGTTTACAAAACTCATTCTTTTTTATTCAATTTACATGAAACTTACACAGTATATGTGGAGGGCATGTCTCTACATTGGGGGGCTTTCATTTTTCTCTAAGTTCATTTATTGATTTTATAATAGCAATAAACATGCCATATTTGCAAAAAAATTTTGGGGAACTTTGAACATTTGTATTAGGAAAACTAAAGATGTTTTGGAAATTCTAAATCCCCAAATCCTTTATTATATGCTAATGTGTCAGAAAAGTGTCACAGAATAATTTTATCTGAAACGTGTGTTCTGAAGTGTGAACTTGAAAATGTGTAAAAAACGTTCAAAAAAAAAAAAAAAAAAAAAAAAACTCCTCCCTTTCTATTTACGCTGCAGTACTGAAACTTGGGACAATTTAAGCACTTTTCATATACAACTGGAAAAAAAATATTGGTTGACATTGAACAACTTTCATTATAATAACCAGACGCCCCCTTAAACCCCCTCCCCCCCCCCCCCCTCCCCATTCCCCAACCCCTCCCCATTCCCCAACCCCTCCCCCCAACCTCCTCGCGTACAGCAGTCGCCATTAGCCACTCAAAATGAAACAACACGACAATTACAAAGTCAAACACACACGGAAAGTCCCCCTCCTTACCCCTCCCTCTCCCCCCCCCCCTCCTCCCCCCCACCACGAAACAAAGACCAAAACATAAACAGTGTTTTCCCTGCCTTCCGCAGTTAATTCTTCACCAGCAAACAGCTGCTCAGCACCAACAAAGACAATGATGCCAAACAATGACAAAAGCACGACAAGGAGGGAGGAAAAAAAAAATGTGTGAATTACATTAAATTGGAAGCAAAAACACGTCGCAAGGAAAACATGAGGCAAGCAAGGAAAACAAGGACCCTTTCCGCTCCCTGTATTTGTCCACATGGAGGACGGGAGAGAGGCGGAGGAGAGAGAGGCGGAGGAGAGAGAGGCGGAGGAGAGAGAGGCAGAGGAGAGAGAGGCAGAGCAGAGAGAGGCAGAGCAGAGAGAGGCGGAGAAGAGAGAGGCAGAGAGAAACGAGGAAGAGAGATATGATAAAGAGGAGGCCATTTTCAGGGGAAAGCACCAAGCCATTCAGGAAGAAATGGAGAAACACAGGAGGAAGAGGAGAGGGAATAACGGGAAGGAGGAGAGGGAACAAGGAGTAACAACACACATAGAGGATAGAATGATAATGAGTAGGGTAAGAGGGGGGGTGGGGGGTGTCAGCACGCGCACCCCCGCGAGCGCCTCAGCGTACCACAAGTGCCAGGAGGTGCCAGGAGGTGCCAAGAGGTACCAAGAGGTGTCAGGAGGTCCCAAGAGGTACCAAGAGGTGCCAGGTGGTGCCAAGAGGTGCCAAGTGGTGCCAGGAGGTACCAAGAGGTGCCAGGTGGTGCCAACAGGTACAAAGAGGTGCCAGGTGGTGCCAAGAGGTGCCAAGTGGTGCCAGGAGGTACCAAGAGGTGCCAGGTGGTGCCAAGAGGTACAAAGAGGTGCCAGGTGGTGCCAAGAGGTGCCAGGAGCCAAGAAGTGCCAGGTGGTGCCAAGAGGTGCCAGGAGGTGCCAGGTGGTGCCAAGAGGTGCCTAAAGCTGTCATAGCGTGAAAAGGGGGTCCTAAAGCACTCACAATTCACCAGTGAGGTGAAGAATACCACAATGCCACAGCGTGCCACAGAGTGCCTCAGCGTGCCTCAGAGTGCCTCAGAGTGCCTCAGCGTGCCTCAGAGTGCCTTAGAGTGCCTCAGCGTGCCTTAGAGTGCCTCAGAGTGCCACAGCGTGCCACAGCAAATACAGGCAGGAACTACCAGAGGCACACAGCGCTGGCACTCTCCAACACGGGCGGCTATTCACACCTCAAAATGGACGCTCGGGAGGAAAATGGAGAGAAAAAATCCCACTAAATAAACAAAAGAAGTAAGGAAAATTGCAGCCCCTCTGAAGGCGGGATTCCAATTTGGGTCTTGAATGGCGTCTCGACACAGTTCCCAGAACCTGTGCTGTTCTCCCGCGCAATATTACGCCGTTTAAATTGGCACGCTGCTCAGTGCCTGTTATTCTGCGGGTTCCGTGTTGGCTCCAATTACACGCACCGCCCGCGACACCTGTTAGGGCGACTGTGCGCTGCGTGCAATTTACGCGAAATTGCGGCTGACACGATTGTGCAATGTAGGCAGTTATACGACTCGCCTGATTGTGCGAATGAAGCAAATTGTGGAACTTTGCGAATTGTGCAACGGATTGGATTGTGCAACTCATGCAACTTGTGCATCTTAGGGGATGGTACAACTGATGCATTTTGTGAAACTTACAGGTTACCCCTTGCAACCTGGTTGATACCTGGTTGATGGGGTTCTGGGAGTTCTTCTACTCCCCAAGCCCGGCCCGAGGTCAGGCTTGACTTGTGAGAGTTTGGTCCACCAGGCTGTTGCTTGGAGCGGCCCGCAGGCCCACATATACCTGGTTGATGAGGTTCTGGGAGTTCTTCTACTCCCCAAGCCCGGCCCGAGGCCAGGCTTGACTTGTGAGAGTTTGGTCCACCAGGCTGTTGCTTGGAGCGGCCCGCAGGCCCACATACCCACCACAGCCCGGTTGGTCCGGCACTCCTTAGAGGAATAAATCTAGTTTTCTCTTGAAGATGTCCACCGGACATTTTCAAGATAAAACTAGTTATTTATAAACTAGATTTATTTATAGATTTCTTCTAGATCTATTTATAAAATAGATTTATTTCTATTTCTTCAAGAAATATTGCCGGAACAACCGATTTTCGGCAATATTTCTTATGCTTGCTGGGAGGACGTTGAACAACCGCGGACCTCTGATGTTTATACAGTGTTCTCTGATTGTGCCTATGGCACCTCTGCTCTTCAATGGTTCTATTCTGCATTTTCTTCCATATCGTTCACTCCAGTGCGTTGTTATTTTACTGTATAGATGTGGTACTTGGCCCTCCAGTATCTTCCACGTGTATATTATTTGGTATCTCTCTCGTCTCCTTTCTAGTGAGTACATTTGGAGGGCTTTGAGACGATCCCAATAATTTAGGTGCTTTATCTCGTCTATGCGTGCCGTATATGTTCTCTGTATTCCCTCTATTTCAGCAATCTCTCCTGCTCTGAAGGGGGAAGTGAGTACTGAGCAGTACTCAAGACGGGACAACACCAGTGACTTGAAGAGTACAACCATTGTGATGGGATCTCTGGTTTGAAATTTCTGGATACGGGATACAACATACAGGACTGTGCAACACGAGACCCTGCAACATACGGGACTGCAACACCTGAGACCTTGCAACATACGGGACTGTGCAACACGAGACCCTGCAACATACGGGACTGTGCAACACCTGAGACCTTGCAACATACGGGACTGTGCAACACGAGACCCTGCAACATACAGGACTGTGCAACACGAGACCCTGCAACATACAGGACTGTGCAACACGAGACCCTGCAACATACAGGACTGTGCAACACGAGACCCTGCAACATACAGGACTGTGCAACACGAGACCTTGCAACATACAAGACTGTGCAACACCTGAGACCCTGCAACATACGGGACTGTGCAACACGAGACCCTGCAACATACGGGACTGTGCAACACGAGACCCTGCAACATACAGGACTGTGCAACACGAGACCCTGCAACATACAGGACTGTGCAACACGAGACCCTGCAACATACAGGACTGTGCAACACGAGACCCTGCAACATACAGGACTGTGCAACACGAGACCCTGCAACATACAGGACTGTGCAACACAAGACCCTGCAACATACGGGACTGTGCAACACAAGACCTTGCAACATACAGGACTGTGCAACACGAGACCTTGCAACATACAGGACTGTGCAACACGAGACTTGCAACATACAGGACTGTGCAACACAAGACCCTGCAACATACAGGACTGTGCAACACGAGACCCTGCAACATACAGTACTGTGCAACACGAGACCCTGCAACATACGGGACTGTGCAACACAAGACCCTGCAACATACAGGACTGTGCAACACAAGACCTGCAACATACGGGACTGTGCAACACGAGACCCTGCAACATACAGGACTGTGCAACACAAGACCCTGCAACATACAGGACTGTGCAACACAAGACCCTGCAACATACGGGACTGTGCAACACGAGACCCTGCAACATACAGGACTGTGCAACACGAGACCCTGCAACATACGGGACTGTGCAACACAAGACCCTGCAACATACAGGACTGTGCAACACAAGACCCTGCAACATACGGGACTGTGCAACACGAGACCCTGCAACATACAGGACTGTGCAACACAAGACCCTGCA